GATCTGGGTAGACACATATTATTAAAAGTTTCATTTATGCATGGCCTTGGTATCATTACTACTTGGGTGATGCAATTGTTTGTTATGTTAATGATGATATCAAATGTATCACATAATAATCATAACCATCATGAATATTTGATGGATGGAGGCATTCACATACAAGGAAATGAAGGAAATGATTAAATAGCTAAGTCATGTTTGTTTTGTTAAAAACATATGATTAATTATATAATAAAAAAATTGCATGGAATCCAAGACTGCACCACTATATCAATCAAGCTATCAAGCTGTTATCTTTGTGCATGATTTAAAATTCTTTTGTGCTCCCATCTTTCTTTGCTTATATATAATCTATTGGTTATCTTTTTACTGGTCAAATGATGCCAAATTGGTTAATGGGGTATTCAGCAAATATCAGAATCTGATTATTCTTTAAAAAAATAATCAAGGCATTAGCATACTGATAAGTTAATAATTTTTTTATCATATAGTCTGCTAAAATAATATCATAATCTTGAGTAACAGTTAGGTTTCTATTCAAATAAGGTTTACTTGAATAAAACAAATAATTTGAGTAAAAAATAATTTGAATAAAACAAATAAAACAAATAAAACAAATAAAACAAATAAAACAAATAATAATAATTTGAGTAAAAAATAATTCGAATAAATAAATGATTCAAATAAACAAGAACTGCCCCAAGACTAGGGTTTGTATTCATGAATACCGTTAGGGGGCCACACATGGTCACACACTATTAAAATCAAGCATTTTTAAGGGATTTTTTGCTGTTTTAATAGTGTGTAACCCCCTTAACAGTATTCATGGTATTCATGAATACAAACCCTACCCAAGACCAGAACGTTTACTAAGAATTGATACATAAAAAACAATTATTTGTTTGAGTGGAGGAATAAGAACAGGTGCGAATTTGATAACGTAAAAGTAAATGTTGGTTTGATTCATTTTGTCAACAATCACTTCACTAACAGTTGTTTTGTTAACAAATGGTTCAAATTTAAGAAGTTGGAAGCAACCATGCGACAAACCTTTGAAATAGTCTAATAAATTAAATTGTACTACTCAAAAATGTATTTAAAGGGTTGGTTTTCAACTTGGTCGAAGAATAACTCTCTTCCTAACTCTTCTCTTGATCATATCTTTCAATATAACCAAAATAACCTTAATATAATGAATGTCAACATTTAAGATATACTATTAAGACAAAACATGAACGATGTATGGAAAAATTAAACAAATTTATTTAATAAAAACAAAATTACAACCAAAAAATTTTTTTTTGCACATCCTAATAAAATTTTCCATTGTTGCATCATTTATTGCTGATTCAACATTACCCAGATCATCATCAACTGTATTTTCGATATTTTCAATAAACTCATTTTCGTTTAATCTTTTCATTATACTTTCTTTTAGTGCATTGACATTTTTTTTGATTTCGACTTCAAGATAGTCCAAGATATCAAACGTTTAGGTTGGCTCCTTTGTAGACAATGATTGTGATAACCATGTTCACACATGAGTATATAACACTACAATTATTCAAATTAGCATAGTTAGCATAATCACAATATGCGTAATTGCAAAAATGTTTGTAAATGGTTTCCTAGAAGTAACAAAGCCTCTTGGAAGGTGACGATGGGTTATTTCATAAAACTTAAAGAAGGCAATTAACACCATTAGATGAAGTTTTGGTAATCAAAGGATACTGATTTCGTGCTTGATATAGTGGTAGTATCAGATTGTCTCTGGACATGAATCCAACTTGCCTCTTTTACAATCTACTGCTCTTGATGTTGTGGTTGTTCCAAGACTTGTATCTACCGAACCTAAACAGAATGCAAGGTCAAATTTAAAAGAGTTAATTTTGTATTATTTAATGAAGCAAGTAAGGTCTGATTCATTTTGTCAACACCCATTTCGTCGAATGTTTGTTTCATTGAAATTATTTTGTCACAAAAAAAACTTCATTAAACAAATTCCTCCTCACACTTGCCACAAACTCCACTTTCCTCACCTAATTTCTTAACTAACTTCCCATACTCCTCACATCTAACCCATTTGGTCTCTGACTTGAGGATGAAATAATTTTTGATGAAATGAACTTTCAACGCAAACTTTTGATGAAGTAAGCGTGACCCATTAACAATTAATAATAATGAAGCCTCTTTGGAAAATGTCATTTCCAATGACAAGGATTCTTCAGACCATTGATGTGTATGTTGAGTTTGATTGCTTGGCGAACTACTAATAGATAATATGAGAGTGGATATAATTAATTCATCATTAATGATTGACTACTTGCAGCAAAAAACCAACTTTGATTTTGGCATCAGAAAAAAGATCCCACAAACGAATATACGCAAACCTTTAATTATATCATGAAATAAATATTCATTAAACATCTTAAATTCTAAATAACCGAAGCGTAGTACCAATGCCAACTAATTTCTTTCTTGCGCTAACTAACTTGCGCTAACTAAATAGTTCTAAATATAAATGCCCCGCCGATCACTAATATATGATTATTCAGAAGATTTTTGGTCTAACTTGTCTAACTTTTTATTTTTTTTGACCGTTACTCTCCTAGAAGTTATAAAAGCTTGAATTTGCATACATATTCTTGAGTACCTTGATTACGATTAATAAAATTATTTATATTTTAATATGTTTTTATGCAATTAATTGTTTAATGGTGACCGAAACCTTTGGTACAGGGAGTGTGTGTATACGTGTTGTACGTGTGAATATGAAAATTTTGGAATCATTTCCAAAAAACTATTTTTGATCAAACATATTCTTGAGAATCTTAATTACGATTAATAAAAAAAATTTATATTTTTATGTACGTTAATTGTTTTGTGATGACCGAAACTTTTCTCCAGGGAGCGCATTATCAAGTGATTCGAACATGTAAAAAAAGATTCATCGACCATTGTCAAATATAACATACTTTTCACCAAATTCTCTTAGATCGAAGAACAAAAAGAAGATAGATTAGTTGTCCAGAAACTTTACTCGTGGAATTAGAACATTAATTTTCAATACGTTACCACCTCAGGTTTCGTCAAGTAGGATTTCTATTCGAATTATTCATTTTATTCGTTATGAATTTGAGTATTCGAATAAAATGAACGATAATAATAAATTTAATAATAATAATTCAAATGATCCAATCCAATTAAAAAAAATTTCTTTATCAATCTGTTTTTCCTTAGTCCTTGAATATAGTGATAGATAATAAATAATAGTAGCTGATATTTTCCTTAAGTAATAGTATTATCAATTATAGTAGTAATAATATAGATTATAAATATAATTATTGTTTATATTAACTTGTTAAAGAAATAAGACCTATATTTTATAAAATGAATAAATAAACTAGTAATTTGAATAAACGAATAAAACAGATAAAACGAATAAAATTAATAAACGAATAACTCGAATAAATGAATAAAACAAATAAAATTTTTAATTCGAATAAATTTTTTTTTTAATTCGAATTAAAGATTGACTGTATTACAAATAGAAACCCTATCGTCAGGTGTATGACTCAAAACCTGAAGTTTCTGAATTATTTATATTGATGAACCCAGAAAATACGTTTTAGCTCGACGCCTGAGCATTATGGGATTTTATTACAATATCCATTGACAAAGATGTTCGGTATTAGTTCTAAATTAAGGATTAGATCTGTTAATCCCGATGGAGTTTCTCAAAACTTGATTTTTCTAGGGAATGTTGCGAGTAATTGTTTTATATTTCCAAACTTTAATAATGCATTACTGCAATACGCTGAACTTTTTTTTCTAATACGCAGAAAGCTATTAGAAGAAAAAAACAAAAATCCGTGAATTTCCGACATAACAGAATTTTCGAGTTTTAAAACGTCACACTCTATGGAATATTGCATCGCTGTGTTAGTAGTAGTCGTTGTTATACATTCTGAAAAACTTCTCACATTTATGCTTTCTGTTTGTCTAGTATAATAACAATGGCTACTACTAGTAAAGGAGCTAATAATGATTATGATATAGAAGCTATAATTGAAGTTAGTACAAAGCTTAAATTTGCAATAGTCACAAATTTCAATATGGATTTTAATACATTTAAATTTCTTCATAGAAATGCAACGACAACGACTTACCAAAATTTAAAATTTTTCGCAAATTCATATATGTATTGGCTGGTATTTGCTATGTCTCATACTCGATTTATTTAATAATCCAACTTGCAACAGAATACCCAATGGTTATTACAAAATACGATTATAGATGTTCCAAGTTAAGTTTATTGTCAACAAATAAACCAAATTTACAATAAACTCACATCTGTTATTATTTATAGACATGGAGATTTGTTCTTCAGGTTTCTTTGAAATATTACGAAGATTATTTTCGTATAGATAGATAGATGGCCATCTTTTACTGATGATTCCCCTTATGTAAATTTTAATTATTATTACACTCCATTTTTCCAACAAATTGAAAAATCAGCTTCTTTAAAAAAATTGTTATTATCCGAAGAATAAATTGTAAAAATTGCTAATTTCTTTGATATCGTTTAAATAGACTTACTGGATGTCAGTGAGATGGACAAAGCTGTTCGATCAAGTCTTGACCTTGGCTGGAACCTTATACCTGGAGTAATAGAGCATGCTTCATTGGTAGGATCTTTTCGCATAATTATTGAATGTTTTCCAGTTATTCATGTATGCTTATTTTTGTTATCTATTCTCTAACACTTCTTTTAGATCAAGTTCAAGTCAAGTATATATAAAAGTATACCACCTCGGGATGTTTCTGCCATCATTGGACTTGGGCCCAACTATGCAATTACTCGGAGATATGATTGCATAGTCAATTATTTTCCCTTTGACCAGAATCCACCACCTATGCCAGATGGAACCAATGGTTATTTTTCAGTTGCTGCTGGGGATTTTGTACAAGAAGAAATTTCTGAAAAGCGGTAAGTTAACAATATAGTTTAAACAGAGTATTATTAAAAACATCACTATTAATACAATTATTTATCTTATTTATGAACCATAATATAGCACAACCACTATTCTAAGTACCATTGCATCAGCTGGTGGTGCCTTTGGTTAGTATATTTAAATTGAATAGCTTAACAAGTTAGAAGTTGTGTAAATCTTTTTTTTTTTTTTTTTTTGATAACCGATAGGTGTCATTGGCGCCATTCTTGTGTGTTTATTTGGATCCAGAATTTTGGATCCATGGGGTATTGCAAGAAAAATTGCAGTGAATCCATGGTATTTGAAAGATATTTTGGTAGATTTTGGATATAAAATGATAGGAAAACAACCAAAAAGTAGTACAGACATTTTAAATGATGAACAGTTAAATGCTGCAATTCCAAGAAAATTCTTGGATACTTCATTTCTTTCAAATTCTTGAGGTTATAGGATTCCTCAAGAACCTTAAGTCCTACCATCAGTAATAAACATGGTAGTTATTTTTTATTAAAACGATTAATAAGCTTACTAACTAATTTCCACTGATTGTTACTAACAATAATTTTAATTAATTAACATACATTAGATTCTAGTATAATGATAAATGAAAACATTGATAAGGTTGATGATTAATTTCACTATAATTGAATATTTATCTTTTTATTTAAAACTAAATCATAAGAAATTTTTTAATTGTTGTTCCTGAACAGAAAAATATTTTGATAAATATTTTTTGCTTTTTCTCTATTGTTACTGTATTATTGAAGATTTATTATTGCAAAGTAACTTATTCATATGAATATTATAAAAACTTCATAATTATTTCCTATAATTTGATAATAATTATAAAAAGCTTTTGCGCATAATAAATTATGTATTAAAGTACGTAATTATTCATTCCTAATCTATCCCGATCATATATCACGTTATTAATATTAAAATAAGAAATGTTTGAGTTTAGTAGTAAATGAGTGTGTAAAGAAAAATCTATCTTCTTGGGAACAACTTATGAAACAAAGGTAACATTTCGTCAATCAACATTGATCACGGATAGTATATTTCGGCTACAGCCGCAATTAGAGTTCACTTGGAGAGTCACCCAGAATCAGCCATGAATTCATTACTTGTGGAAGGAAAGGTAACAACAATTATTTAATAACGAAATTTATTTTAATTCGTAATTCATAATTTATTTATTAAACAAAACATAGGATGATGGTTGACATAAAACAAATTACTTAATAAATAAATACATGAATATAAATTTAAATTTCTAGCATTTATACACAGTTCAATAATAAAAAAAAAAACGAACCGACCATTTTGGAAAGAAAAAAATTTGATTATTAAAAAATCTATCCAAGATTACGTAAATAATTTTTCCCGAGAATCAAATGAAGCGCATCTAAAATCTAATATTATATTAGTATGTAGATTTTTAAAAGTTTCTATTCAAATTTTTTTTCTTTTCAAAAATGATTGGGGTTTATTTTCTTATTATTATTTGAGCTGTATAAAAGCCAGAAATCTAAAAATTTTATTTAAGCGCATGAATACCTAGGATCCAAATATAACTTTTTGTGTAATTAATAAATTAATATGTACATTTTTTCGCGATTCATTGATTTAGGGGGGGGACTGAATCTTTTGGACAAGTTGTATATATATATATATTGTGACATCCGTAATGGAGACCAATGATTCTGGAAGAACGGTTCGAGAAGAAAAACCTTAGTGATATAAAAATAGAATCCATTTGTTAGCTTATACTTACTATCAGACAAGATGCGAAAAAATCAATTTCAATTTAATATTTTTTTATTTTTTTATTATAAAATATATAAAATTTATCTTTTATATGAAAACATTGTATATAATATATAACAAGTTTAATAAAATATATTTATTTTCTCGAATGCAGGAATATTGGAAACACCTCTCATTGGGGTGTTACACATCAGTATAAACACAAACATAGTTGAGCACACTTATAAAAAACTATATGTAAGGATTT